GAGCCTGACTGAACAGAGCCTGACTGAACAGAGCCTGACTGAACAGAGCCTGACTGAACAGAGCCTGACTGAACAGAGCCTGACTGAAGAGAGCCTGACTGAACAGAGCCTGACTGAACAGAGCCTGACCAGGTTGGCCTCCTCGACGAGGTCCCTGATGAAGGGCTTGATGGTGTCCACCATGTTGGTGATGATGGTGTTGATGGGCACCGTGCCCAGGGGCAGTAGGTACACCTTGCACCCCGACACCTGCTCCTCCTCCTGCTCCATGCACCGCTTCTTGCTGCCCTTGCACCCCAACACCTCCTCCTCCTGCTCCATGCACCGCTTCTTGCTACCCTTCTCACCGTTGCCTTCAATACTGCACATCAAATAAAGCCGTTAACATCACATAAAGCTGTTAACATGGATAAACTGCAATAATGCACATCACGTAAAGACGTTAACATCGCATAAAGCCGTTAACATGGATAAACTGCAATACTGCACAGCACATAAAGCTGTTAACATCGCATAAAGCCGTTAACATCACGTAAAGCCGTTAACATGGATAAATGTTAATAAACATTGCCTTGTGCTCTATAAATTTAAAGAATAAATATTCATACAAATTCAAATGCAAAGAACAAATATCAATCTTTATTTTTGAAATTTACATTGATACTGTACAACATTGCCAGTCTTGACTCAGTCTTACCGCTGTCTCTTATACACATCTAGATGTGTATAAGAGACAGGTTCTGTTCTGTTCTGTTCTGTTCTGTTCTGTTCTGTTCTGTTCTGTTCTGTTCTGTTCTGTTCTGTTCTGTTCTGTTCTGTTCTGTTCTGTTCTGTTCTGTTCTGTTCTGTTCTGTTCTGTTCTGTTCTGTTCTGTTCTGTTCTGTTCTGTTCTGTTCTGTTCTGTTCTGTTCTGTTCTGTTCTGTTCTGTTCTGTTCTGTTCTGTTCTGTTCTGTTCTGTTCTGTTCTGTTCTGTTCTGTTCTGTTCTGTTCTGTTCTGTTCTGTTCTGTTCTGTTCTGTTCTGTTCTGTTCTGTTCTGTTCTGTTCTGTTCTGTTCTGTTCTGTTCTGTTCTGTTCTGTTCTGTTCTGTTCTGTTCTGTTCTGTTCTGTTCTGTTCTGTTCTGTTCTGTTCTGTTCTGTTCTGTTCTGTTCTGTTCTGTTCTGTTCTGTTCTGTTCTGTTCTGTTCTGTTCTGTTCTGTTCTGTTCTGTTCTGTTCTGTTCTGTTCTGTTCTGTTCTGTTCTGTTCTGTTCTGTTCTGTTCTGTTCTGTTCTGTTCTGTTCTGTTCTGTTCTGTTCTGTTCTGTTCTGTTCTGTTCTGTTCTGTTCTGTTCTGTTCTGTTCTGTTCTGTTCTGTTCTGTTCTGTTCTGTTCTGTTCTGTTCTGTTCTGTTCTGTTCTGTTCTGTTCTGTTCTGTTCTGTTCTGTTCTGTTCTGTTCTGTTCTGTTCTGTTCTGTTCTGTTCTGTTCTGTTCTGTTCTGTTCTGTTCTGTTCTGTTCTGTTCTGTTCTGTTCTGTTCTGTTCTGTTCTGTTCTGTTCTGTTCTGTTCTGTTCTGTTCTGTTCTGTTCTGTTCTGTTCTGTTCTGTTCTGTTCTGTTCTGTTCTGTTCTGTTCTGTTCTGTTCTGTTCTGTTCTGTTCTGTNAGTGATATATAGCTGTCTCTTATACACATCTAGATGTGTATAAGAGTTAGGTACAGAGATGTGCAGGTTGGAATGTACTTGTGTGAGGTCATCGCACTTGAAGGGAGGCTGTTCGAGCATCTCATTGAAGCGCAGGATGTGGTCGGGGAACTTGTTACGCACTATATCTTCTGCCTGCAACATACATATTGTTAAGAAAATAATACATATTACAGATTATTCATTGCCACAGAGATTTATATACCTGTTGCAGAAAATTACTTCAAAGCATCATGATTTTCTAAGAACTTAATTGCTAACGATCATCCTGGCAGACATAACAACCAAATTTATCGAGTTCCTGCATGGTGAGCTATGATATAAGGGCTCTGAAGAGGTCTACAGCTGACAGCAGTACTCAAAGAGAGTACTGCTGCCAAAGAGAGTACTACTGCCAAAGAGAGTACTGCTGCCAAAGAGAGTACAGCTGCCAAAGAGAGTACTGCTGCCAAAGAGAGTACTGCTGCCAAAGAGAGTACTGCTGCCAAAGAGAGTACTGCTGCCAAAGAGAGTACTGCTGCCAAAGAGAGTACTGCTGCCAAAGAGAGTACTGCTGCCAAAGAGAGTACTGCTGCCAAAGAGAGTACTGCTGCCAAAGAGAGTACTGCTGCCAAAGAGAGTACTGCTGCCAAAGAGAGTACTGCTGCCAAAGAGAGTACTGCTGCCAAAGAGAGTACTGCTGCCAAAGAGAGTACTGCTGCCAAAGAGAGTACTGCTGCCAAAGAGAGTACTGCTGCCAAAGAGAGTACTGCTGCCAAAGAGAGTACTGCTGCCAAAGAGAGTACTGCTGCCAAAGAGAGTACTGCTGCCAAAGAGAGTACTGCTGCCAAAGAGAGTACTGCTGCCAAAGAGAGTACTGCTGCCAAAGAGAGTACTGCTGCCAAAGAGAGTACTGCTGCCAAAGAGAGTACTGCTGCCAAAGAGAGTACTGCTGCCAAAGAGAGTACTGCTGCCAAAGAGAGTACTGCTGCCAAAGAGAGTACTGCTGCCAAAGAGAGTACTGCTGCCAAAGAGAGTACTGCTGCCAAAGAGAGTACTGCTGCCAAAGAGAGTACTGCTGCCAAAGAGAGTACTGCTGCCAAAGAGAGTACTGCTGCCAAAGAGAGTACTGCTGCCAAAGAGAGTACTGCTGCCAAAGAGAGTACTGCTGCCAAAGAGAGTACTGCTATGTAATAAAAAACTAGAAATGAAAGCTAGATGAACAGGAAGCAGCTGCAGCTGTGGGCACTAGGTAGCGATGCCTGAAGGCACAGCAAATATTTTCAGTGTTATGAGGTCAGTTTTTTTTAACTTTGGTACCAATAATAAAAAAAGTTACGCATTCAAAACCTACACAAAGCTTAATAAATATATGCAACTAAAATCTATCTACTCAGCAAGCCTTACACTAAAAAAATTCAAATTCAACATTTGTACAAGAGAAACAGACTTGGCTTGAGCAATACAGTGTGCAAGCTAAAATATATCTTTCTCCACAAGAATTTAGCATGTCCATCTAGTCTCCATCTTCAACACTATGTAAAATCTGCAGCAGTAACACTATAGTCACCACTTCAACCATGGTTTCTTCACATCAGATGGGTCACTTTGACTCACCTTCTTTATGACAGAAGATTTGTATTCCTCCACCTGAAAAATAAATTCATTGATGACTCATACAAATACAACAATTTTTACTGGTGTTTCAGTGGCCGGTTGGCACATGAAAAGAAACACCGTGTCGCCGTTTTTATGCTAATTTAACACTAAAAATCCACAAAACATCTGATAAAAACGGCAAAACAGTTTATTTTCAAGGGGCGACCGGCTACTAGAACACCAGTGGGACCGTTTTTTCACCATTTTTTCTAACAGTGTATACTTCAGAAAATAATACAAATTATAAGTTATTCATTGCCACAGACAGATTTATATGCCTGTTGCAAAAAAATACTTCTAAACATCATGATTTTCTAAAATCTCAATTGATAAAGATCATCCTGGGAGCTATAACAACCAAATTTGTGCAGTTCCTATATGAACAGGTAGTAAATAACAAGAAATAAAAGCTAGATGAACAGGCAGCAGCCTAGGCTGTTGGAAAAATTTGAAGGTGGCACAGCACAATACCTATATTTTCAGTGTTAAGGGGTCATTTTTTTAAACTGTGCTACGGTAATAATAAAAAAAGTTGCACAGTCAAAACCTACACAAAGCTTAATATATATGCAACTAAAATCTATATACAGCACAATATATTTTCAGTGTTATGGGGTCATTTTTTTTCAACTTTGGTGTTAATAATAAAAAAGCAGTAACACTAGTCACCAGTGCAGCAGTAACACTATTAACACTATTATTAAGTAACACTTCTAACATGGGTCACTTTGACTCACCTTCTTTATGACAGAAGATTTGTATTCCTCCACCTGAAAAATAAATTCATTGATGACTCATACAAATACAACAATTGTTTCTTGTATAGCATTTTAGCTACAGGGCACAAGAAAACATTAGATGCAGGTAGATACATTTAATAAATAGCTTCATTATGAATTAAATCATAACACTGATTATGTAAGTAACTGCATACATATACCACAGACTTGAACAGGAAATGCTAAATAATAATCTTACATTTATGTTTAAATATTCCATCAAAATTTTAAGCTTTAACTAAAATTGAATAACAAATTACCATAAAATTTTGAGTTGCTAATTTTTTGAGCCAAGAAAATTGAAGCAGAGAAAATCAATTTTTAATTTTGAGCCAAGAAAATTACCTCAGGGAAGCAATTAAATATTTTTTAGAGCCACCCACCTTCTGTACGCTACTCAGTCCGCTGGATGACATGACGGGATGGTGCAGTCTAGGCTATAAATGATTATCCTTAATTAATAATAATGAAGACTGGCAAGTGAAAATCAATTCAGGTTCTAACCGTTCTATACAGTAGAACTCGGATCATAAATTAAAGTACAAATTATTTTTAATGGAATGTAAGCTGAGCTAAAATAAAATCAATTCAGATCCTACAAAGTAGAAATCGGATCATAAATTGAAGTACAAGTTATTTTAAATGGAATGTAAGCTGAGCTAAAATAAAGTAAACTAAATATCACAAACAATAACTTTCTGGTCTCTAAATATTAACTATTAGTAACTATAACACTGCACCACAGCTGCCACAGCAAGGGCTCTCACTGCACCACAGCTGCCACAGCAAAGGCTCTCACTGCACCACAGCTGCCACAGCAAAGGCTCTCACTGCACCACAGCAAGGGCCTATAAGTCAACCAGGTACATGAATGGTAATCTAAGACCGAGATTTAAAATTTCATGCATTATAATGGAATTTTGCAGCTCCTTAATGACATATTTTCAAAAACTTTTAAATCTCATGGCTCGATCATACATTTTTGTCAATAATTAGAGAAGGGATATTTCATTTAGCAGGAATTTTGCCACCCCAGAAATGGCAGGAAAGCTTTAGTTGCATGCAATATTATATAAAAATAAATAAAAAATTAAATTTTATTTTATTATTTAATCCGGCACATGGTACATGCTATAGAATTAAATTAAATCAAATTTAAATATTTAATAGGTACCTACATCTCATGGTACATGCCTGAGTGCTCAGTGATTTATTTAATGCAATAATTGCCATTTCTAAATAACAAACATTTTCTAAAAGACATGAGACATTTTAAAACTCACGATTTGAGATAAAATCATTCAGAACCTGAAGTGAAATTATTTAGACAATATCAATATAATAGGGCAAAAACATGAAAAAATTCATATCTGGACACATATCAATAGGTGCATAAATTTTGAAACAACTTTTCATCCTTTAAATCTCAGTGAGGAATGTTGATCAAATCTATTTATTGCAAAATCTAACTTGACATTACCAAAACAAGGTGTGACTGTGACACAGTCTTGGCAATGACATCTTGTCATATGTTAACAGGACAGCACAATGTGCCATACACCATGAAAGATTTGCAGTTTATCCCATCGTTTTGTGTGGTTTGGAAAAGTTTCTTGGTATTGGTGAAATTGTGAAATTTGTTTATAAAAGTTCACATAATTTCATTTTATTTTAGAACATTTTCATTGCAAAATTTTGTTTGATATGGATAAATGACTAGTGAATGTAATCAAGTAAGGCAGTGCCAACCCGGTATCAAATTCTGATTTCGGAAGCATGGCAGTTTTTGACTAGCTCAGTGTCTCAATTGTCACTGCCGTGGAAGGTGTAATGTGGTAGGCTTTTTGATCCATTTTCTTATATGAACATGAGAATATTTTACATATCCAGACTTCCACACTGCTTCTCATTGTGGCAAAAGCAATTAGAAGCAATTCCAATTGCCATTGTGAACCTGTGATACAAAACATTAATCAAATCAAAAGAAGAACATTCAAACAAAGCAAACTTCAAAATTGCTTAACACACGACTGGTGTGTTAAGCAATTATTAAAAATTATTATTAAAATAACAAATTATATAGCAATTATTATTAAAATAACAAAAGTGAACATGAATTATAAATTTGTGGGTGCAACTGAAAGTGAGTTAGGCAAAAAATTATTTGTCAACATGCTTTGGCATTGAATATGGCATCCGATTCCTATGCTGGTGTTATGCCAGACTATACAGCTGGATTTGGGGCGTGGTGANTTCACCGGACAAATTGGAAAAAGGCCATAATAAGGTGTGAAGTTGGCTAGATTCAAGGGAGTTTTTTCCCAATTTCCAGGCAGCTTCTGCCCAATTTTTCAAGGTTTTTCCAGACCCTAAGTAAGTACCAACTTAACCTCTAATATTTGTCAAAAATACATGTACAGAGTCAGAGTTATTTAAATAAAAATGCATCAACATAATCTTCTAAAGACATTAATTTTGATGCCAATGTTTAGCCATGTCACAGATCAACAAATATTCACCCACTCTCCCAAGTCCCAACACTGGATAGACAGTAGCCAGTAGGTATCATCAAAGAGGGGTAATAAGGGACAGTTTTGAGCATTTTTAGCACATTTTCATGATTTTCTCATTTATGGAAAAAATGCACTATTGTGCTCGCCATGTCCATCTGTCCATCCATGACCATGTTTTTGTTGACAAGAAAATGCGCTCTCTGTCACTCACTGCAGTGAGTACTGAGTTTTATTTTTTGTTAATAACTCCTTACCATGAAACATTTCATAAATAACTTTGGGCTCACTTCAAAGCTCTTTGCAAGGGGAAGGGCTTTGAAAAAATTCCATATGCCAATTGTAAGGTGCCAGACACCCATAAAAGCATCCCAAATTACCCCTGGGAACAGGGTAATATTTCCTTTGAAAATTTAGAATAAATGCCATTTTCTGCGATTTTTACTCGTTTTTCTTTTATTGATATGGATATAACCATATCCATACATTACTTTACTATATTATTGATGTGATATTACCCCGATGGCCCGATTTACCTGTTACCATATCCATGAACATGCCATTGACATTGACAACAACCTTGTCCACTGCAAGCTGCATATCGGCAGCCGTATAACATTTCTTCTGTATCTGAAAGCTTACAGGATGACTTGTAATTTCTCACCATTTCAATTCGATCAAGCAAATTCACTATAACGGAAAAAAAATTGTAAAAAACATAGGTACCTGAAACAGAAAAGAATATTCTAGTGACAGCCACCATATTTTTGGTAAAATAAATCATAGTTTAGATTAATTACTTTTCTTCTATATTGCCCGGTGCACAATTTTATACACAACATTGAGGACATTCTATGCACAATTTTGTGATGACCCATTATGCATACATTTTTCATCAAGTGAAATTGGTTGCTAAGCAAGGGATGAGAAATGGTCTTGTGGAAATGGCTGCAATCTTTTTTTTTTTTTGGGATGAGATGTGCAAATTCCATCAGTTACATTTATGATTTTTAAGCCAACACCTTTGCGACAAATTGTAGGTAAGGCTGTGTGCAACTTTTATGTAGGTAAAATCTTTTAACAAGGCAAATAGGGTAAACGCGGTATATTCTGTCACATTAAGGACGCATCAAGAAATGAAAAACTATAAAAAAATAACCGTATGCGTTACTCAAGTTCTGTTTGCTTTATGTGACTCTCAAAACACCGCACTACGCGTCAGCAACAACGAAAAGTCACAAAATGTTGCCATATTTATTTAAAAGCCTTTAGAATGCAAACCTACCAAATCCCTATATTCCGTCACTGTGTGTGGCNCCGGTTTATTCACCCTCGGATACGCTTTTCTCAGATCCAGCAGTCTCGCCACAGGCCACTCTTCTTCATTCATGCCCCCATTCTCATTCAGTTCCATTCTTCTCTTCAAATCAACCACATCCTCTTGCATCCGAACCATCATTCTGTCTCTTATACACATCTAGATGTGTATAAGAGACAGCATTTAGGGGCAGCGCCCCCCATTTGCAAACTATGACACTTTCCTAAAATTTGTCATTTGCATATGTAACTAGAAGAGTTCTACTACAATGCATCAAAACCTGGAGTTATTTAACAAAAAAAAAAAAAAAAAATTGGAGGGGGGTACTCCGACAGGCTTTAAATAATAGCTCTTTTTTGTGGGGCACATTATTAATTTTTTAACCTATTAGATATGCAAATTTTTTAAATCTTTCTATAGTTTTACGTAGCCTCAGTATTAGGCCTTTGATGGCCATTGACAAAATTTTTCTATGTCAAATCATTTTTAAGTTTTGGGGGTTTTTGTTAAAAAAACAAAAAGTGGTCAAAGTTACCCCGCCGGTCAAAGTAACCCCATTTTACGGCATCCATGATACTTTGCTTGTCTACTTATAGGACTCAAAAATGAACTTGATGGAGAGTCTAAAAAACTCTCTGCTTTGCCACTTAGCCACTATAGTCTATGGACTTTGATGCGCAAATGTATGACGTCACCATTTCAACCATCAACGAATGCATGGAACTAAAACAAAGCTTAATATAAAGGAAAAACTAGAGAGGTGACGGAATTACCCACAATGTCGGGTCGGAATATACTGCCTTTACCCTATTTTTTTTTGCTACAGAATTTAGCAGAGATACTCTTCTAAAATCTCACTTTTCACACTTCTATTCCCAGTATTCCAGGTATTTTTAGAGGTACCTAATAATTGTAAGATTTCTTAACTTGCTCTATGGCCATTGGGCATGCCCTATCATCCTTATTGGCTTATTTTTTACCTATGCTAGTATGCTACATATATATTATCATATTAAAAATGTTGAACTTTATGCCACTATTTTTAGTTTTATAATATTTTGATTAGTTCAGCTGCTAGGTAGTAGGTACAAGATTTCTACAAAATGTGGGACTGGGACAACTGTCCCTTATTACCCTGCCCATCCCTTATTTAGTTATTACCCCGTTTGACGGTACCTACTCTCAGTCTCACTACTCTGTTCTTCATACAACTTATTCAAGGATAACAATAGTGTAAAATAGATATTATACTCCCTCCACAAAAAGTACACATCAAAATCAGTCACACATGAACCCATTTTCAGGAATCAGGACAGCTAAAAACTATTTTCATTGCTCTCTTCAGAGATGTATTTATAAAGAATCATTGAATGACTGTCGAAAAATGTTAACTTCTTGGAAAATAAAAAAAAAAACATTGCAAACCCTGTAACTGAAATCAAATTTGCAACACGTCATATGAAATTCATTCATGAAAGATGAAACATCAAGACTCAGATGCGGCCAGTCAGCCAGTGAGCACGAAGAAATGTTACCAAATCATATCGCATTTTTCAAATAAGACTTCCAGCTCCTGCCTCGCGGCGAAATGAGGAGCAGTAATTGTACAGCGCAAATATTACATATCAGGAGAGAATGACACTCCCTAAAATCTTAATAAAAATATTGATTTATCTCCATTGCACGTTGACCCGACTGATGAAAATGTTGATCTTCAATGGGATTTCAAAACGTGTTGTTTAATCATTGCTACCCAAATTTCATCCAATGCCCCAAAGATCATGATCATATTTTA